GCTTGCCTTGAGCTGAAGAGTGCAGGGACAGCACCCAAGCCCAGAGTTCAAGCCCTACGACTGACAAAAAAAAAAAAGAAAATGTGGTATACACACACACACACACACACACACACACACACACACACTGGAATTCTATGCTTCCCTTAGAAAGAATGACATTGCCTCATTTGTAAGCAAATGGAAAGATTTGGAAAAAATTATATTAAGTGAAGTAAGCCAGACCCAAAGAAACATAGGTTGCATGATATCCCTATTTGTAATAATTAGAATGCCCCTGTAAATCTACAAGTAAACCTAATGAACAGTAAAAGACAAAAAATTACACTTTCACATGATTAACAAAACAGGACTCTAAACATTCACACACTGAGATCAAAGGGGGAAATTCTTAGAAGAGGATCACAAGGGCTCAATAACTATTCCCACATGATTATATAAATAGATGCTTATCGACATGAACTCCAAGAAAAGGAAACAAGAGATTTTTTATTTTACTTATTTTTTTCTATTTTTCCTCTTTTGACACTGTTTTTGATTTCTGTACCTCTTGTCTTGCATGTAAGTAATCTGATTTGGGGAGGGTAAGGGGAAGCACATAAATGGTGGGACAAAGAGAAAATTGAGTCAGTAGTGATGGAAATGAACTATATAACTTGTGAGGAAAAGGGTTGGGAGGGAAAAGCAGGAGAAAACGAGGAAAGAGGTGACATGTTTCAAAAAGAAATGTACTCAATATATGACTTATAACGAACTCCTCTGCACATCACCTTTACCACAAAAACCAACCTCCCCCCAAAAGATACAAAAAACAAACACCATAGGCCAGACCTAGAAGCAAAAAATCGTATGGTCCGGGCAAAAGCACGAGACCCTAGCTGATAAAACCACAGCACAGAGGCATAGCTTTACATGGTAGATCACTTGTTAAATAAGTATTAGGCTCTGAGATCAATCTCTAGTACTGCAAGAAAAACAAACACAAACCTCACACCACCATCTTATTCTTATTTACCACTCCTGAGAATACATGCAAAGGAATGTAAATTGGCATACAGAAGCCCTCACACTCAGGTTTATCAGGGTACTATTCACAATAGTTAAGCTGTGGAATCTGCCTAGGTGCCCATCAACTGATGAATGAATAAAAAAAAATGAGGTAAGCCAGGCACCAGTGGCTCATGCCTATAATCTTAGTTACTCAGGAGGCTGAGATCTGAGGATTACAGTTCAAAGCCAGCCCAAGCTGGAAAGTCTGTGAGATTCTTATTCTCAATTAAACCACCAGAAAACCAGAAGTGGCACTGTGGCTTAAGTGGTAGAATGCTACCCTTGAGCTAAAGAGCTCAGGGACAGTGCTCAGGCCCTGAGTTCAAGCCCCAACAAAAAAAAATGTGGTATATGTACACACACAATGGAGTACTACTGAGCCATAAAGGATACTGTTATTTTGTGGATGGAACTAGACCATCTTATTGAATGAAATAAGTTGGATTCATAAGAATAACTATCAAGATGCATTGTGTCCACTCATGGATATGTAAAAATGAAACAGACTTGTACATACAACTTGTTGATGCTAATAAACAAAAAGTTAATGGTGTATGCTAGAAAGAAATAAAGAGATAGAAGAAAGACAAGTATCAAGTTTTGTCTCCTATGGCATATGCAAATGCTATATATATGTATATTTGAATATTAAAATAGATTATCTGCAGCTATGAAAATGAAACCCATGAAAATTGTAAAAGAAAGGGTAAGGGAGGAGGGAATAAGACTGAGTCGGGCACTGGTGGCTCACACCTGTAATCTTAGCTATTCAGGAGGCTAAGATTTGAGAATCGCAATTCAAAGCCAGCCAAGGCAGGAAAGTACCATGAGATCCTTGTCCCCAATGAACCACCAAAAAAGCCAGAAGTGGATCTGTGGCTCAAGAGGTAGACTGCTAGCCTTGAGCAAAAAGCTCAGGGACAGTGCCCAGGCCCTGAGTTCAAGCCCTAGGACCAGCACACACATACACAAAAAGAAATACAACTGTGAAAAAGAAATTTTTCTTTTAAAAAAGATTTTTTACTTAGAGAAAAAACTACTATGAACATAGAAAACGGTATCTGATTCTTGATACACATCTAACTCTCCCCAAATTTATAGGCAATTTGAGTGCTTTTAATGTCATTAAACTAACATTAATTTTTTTGAAAAAAATATGCTGGATTTTTATTTTATTATTAAAATTTTAATTTTATTGTCAAGGTGATGTACAGAGGCTTTACAGTTACATAAGTAAGGTAGTGATTACATTTTGTGCCTAACTCGTTACCCCTTCCCTTATTTTTCTCCCTCTTTCCCTCCCCATATATATATATATATATATATATATTTATTTATTTATTTATTTGAGGTAGGGTCTCACCAGGTAGCCAAGGTTTGAACTCTTCATTCTTCTACCTCAGTCTTTGAAGTTCTGGGATTATAGGCATGAGACACTTTGCCTTTGCTTGTACAATTTAATCTTATTACGATTTATGGAAATTGGATAGGGGAGGGATGGGTGAGAATATTGACGGGGGTGACATTGAAGAGGCATTGTATTCATAAAATGCTTTGTTAAATGGCATCTCTTTTGCACAACTACTTAGATAACTAGAAAAACAAGAAAAAGGAAAAAAAACCCAGTCATGAATTTTAAACGTCCAAAAAAAAAAAAAAGAATCCAGGTGAAATCCCTCTTGAGGAGTGAAATTTCTTAAGCCTTACCAAAAAAAAATACTATTTTTTTTGTTGCTCTTCCATCAACATTAACAAGTCCTCAGAGACTGAGATGAGCTAATTTACCTAATTATCAGTGAGAGGCCTTGAGCTCTCCATCCCAGACAATTGTAAATAATTAGCCTGTGTTTCCCCAGTCCTGAAGTTTGCTGGTTCAAGTCCAGTTGTCTTGCTGCATCTCCTTTGCCCAAAGTTGTGGCTTGGCTCAGGAGTCCACGTGTGATTCTATCCCTCTGTGGTTCCTGAGGACAGAGCCTTCTTCTCCATCACTCACCACACAGCCTGGAGGTGATGGATGCTCTCTCCTTCCTCCTCCCTGATAATGGTGGCACAGTCTGGTAAGTGCCATGGGCGAGTCTGGCAGGCTGGACTTGGGTAGCATTAAGATCCTTACCATCAAGATGCAAAGATGGAGTAGCCGGCTAGGAGGGTCCCAAATACAGGCCCCAAATACACTGGTGCCTGGCTCATTTTCAATGGATACGAAATCATTTTTAATTTCCTCTCTGATTTCTTCAGTGGCCCAAAGATTATACAAAACTGTGTCACGCGCAGTCTTCATTTTTCCCCCTTTTCGGATCATCTACGATCCTACGATCCTAAAATGATTTTTATTTTATTTTGGTATTTGTTAAAGCTTGCTTTATGGCCTAAAATGTGACCTAACTTACAGAAAGTTCAACGGGCCACCAAGAAGAATATCTAGTAATCTGAGCCACTCAGGAGGCTGATAGATTATGATGGAGGTATCTGTTAAACCTATTTTATCTATGGTGCTGTTTAACTCTTAAGTTATCTTTGTGATTTTATTTTATTTAGTCATGTCTCCATGGATGAGAACAGTGTTAAAGACGTCCACTTTTATTGTATCTGGACCTATCTATTTTGTTTTTTTTTTTTTTGCTGGTCCTGGGACTTGAACTCTAAGCCTGGACATTGTCCTTTAGCTTTTGTACTCAAGGCTGGCACTCTTGAGCCACAGCTCCACTTCTGGCCATTTTCTGCTTAATTGGAGATAGGAGTCTCAAGGACTTTCAGCCTAACTGGCTTGGAACAAGCCAGACCTCAGATCTCAGGCTCCTGAGTAGCTGGGGTTACAGGTGTGAGCTATGATTTTTTTCCTTAAAGGGGAAAAATATATTTTATTCTATGTTTGGTCTTAGAAGAATATTTTAGTCATCGAAAGCTTTACCTTGATTGTGCAAATCCACATCGCTTAGGTGTCTCTAAAATAAATGTACCCCGAATGGTGTGAATGAAAGAACAAATGATGGACGATGGGGTCTGTCAGAAAGGAGTAATATTGTGGAATGGATGTTCCTCTCCTGTGAGACCTTTCTTGCTGGCTTGATTTAATCTGAATGTAGCTTTAGTGTCATGCACTGTTTTATACTTAAAATTCTTTTCTTTCCACCCCTCTTTTCATTTTTTCAAAAGGTGTCCAAGCAACGTAGACACCCACAACCTAACCCCAGTCACTGAGTTCCATCTCCTGGGCCTCTCAGATGACCCTGAACTCCAGTCTGTCCTCTTTGGGCTGTTCCTATCTATGTACTTGATCACCGTGCTGGGAAATCTGCTCATCATCCTGGCTGTCAGCTCTGACTCTCACCTCCACACCCCCATGTACTTCTTCCTCTCCATCCTCTCCTTGGCTGACATTGGCTTCACCTCCACCACCATCCCCAAGATGCTGTCAGACATCCACACTCACAGCAGGGCTGTCTCTTATAGCAGGTGTCTGACTCAGATGTCCTTTTTTATGCTTTTTGGTTGTTTGGACAGTCTGCTTCTGACCGTGATGGCTTATGACCGCTTTGTGGCCATCTGTCACCCTCTGCATTACAAGATCATCATGGACTCTCGACGTTGTGGCTCACTGGTTGCAGGGTCTGTTCTCATCAGCCTGTTGGTGTCCCAGTTGCATACTTCCATGGTCTTACAGCTCATGTACTTCACGAGTGTGTCCATTTCTCATTTCTTCTGTGACCCTTCCCAGATCCTCAGCCTCACCTGCTCTGACCCCTTCACCGATGACCTTGTCATGTATTTTGTGGGTGCCTTGTCTGGTTTCCTTCCTATTTTGGGAATCCTTTTTTCCTACTCTAGAATCGTTTCTTCCATACTCAGTGTGTCGTCGCCAGGTGGGAGGTATAAAGCTTTCTCCACCTGTGGGTCTCACCTGTGCATGGTGTGCTTGTTTTACGGCACAGGACTGGGGGTGTATCTCAGTTCGGCGGTGTCAGTGTCTCCTAGGAGAGGGGCAGTGGCCTCGATCGCATATACAGTGGTCACTCCCATGCTCAACCCATTCATCTACAGCCTCAGAAACAGGGACATCAAGTGCGCCATGGGAAGACTGCTGAGGAAAGTCTAATCTCAGTGGTATTGGTGTCTGCTTTCTGGTGAAGGCAGCAGACCTACATCTAGACCTGGGAAAAACAGTACCTCCCATCAATTAACATGCCATTCTTAAAAAAAAAAACAACCATGTTATTGTAAAGGTGATTTTATGTTGGGGTTACAGATACATAAGTCAGGTAATGGGTATATTTCTTTTTGGACAATGTCACCTCTATCCCTGCTTTCTCCCAGTTTTTTGCTTCAATTACCCTTTCTCCCCCAAGTTGTATAGTTCATTTTCAACATAGTGTCTAGTGCATTTATTCACCCTTTGCTCCTCCATTTCTGCACACTCTGTACACTCTCCCAAAGAGATAAACTTACAAACAAGACTAAAGGTACACAAACAAAAACAACAATAAAGAGAGCACTTGTGATCCTCCACTAAGAATATTCTCCTTTGGTTTCACCGTGTGAATGTCTAAAGTCCTGTCTAATTTGTCATGTCCAGATGTATTTTTTTGTCTTTTACCATCCAGTGTGTTTACTTGTAGATTTATAGGCACAAAAAATGAGGAACTATGTAACCTATGTTATTTTTGTGTCTGGCTTACTTCATATAATATAATGTTTTCCAAGTCTTTTAATTTCCTTACAAATGTGGAAATGTTATTCTTTGTGATGAAAGCATGGAATTCCATTGTGTATATAAACTACATTTTCTTCTCATTTTTTCCTGGATTTTTCTTTTTTTCAATTTTATTTTATTGTCAAGGTGATGTACAGAGTGGGTACAGTTACATATGTAAGGTGATGAGTACATTTCTTGTACCCCCCTCCTTTTTCCCTATTTTCCTCCCCCAAACTCCCCTTCACAAGTTTTAAAGTTAATTTACAATATATTGTCTTGTGAGTATAGCTGTTGCATTGGTTCACCCTTTATTCTTTGTTTCACCATTTTGTTGTACTCTTTCCCTTCTCTAATTCACATTAACATATACAAAATACCCAGTGTACCAAAACCAAACACATGACAATAGGGGATAAACCATAGGACAAATACACGAAAGAAAAAAAATCACATAGTACTTTAAAAACAACAGCAAAAAAACCCCCAACAACTCTTGGAATTCATTTCGCTTAGCATCATCTTAGTTATATAGATATTCTTTTTTTAAAGAAATAATTTATTTTTTATTGTGAAAATACCCTATAGAGGGGTTACAATTACATGGGCAAGGTAATGAGTACATTTCTTATCAAGCATTGTTGCGTCCTCCTTTGTTTCCCCTTCCCATCCATTCCATGCTCCCTAACTCTCCCCCCCTCCCCCCCCAAAGTTGTAAAGTTCATTTTTCAACATAACGTCTTGTACATCTCATTCATTGTTGCAATGGGTCCACCTGTATCCCTATTTAAACAATTTGTTTTTTACTTTCCCCTCCACAAATTATACCAACATCTAATACAGTGAAAGCAGGGTTATACCATGGGGGCGGGACATACAAAACAACAAAGAAATCATCTTATAAATATGTTAGAAACAATTGCAAGAAGGAAAAAAAACATTTGAATACTTACGTTGGGGTTCATTTCGCCTAAAATCAACTTATCTGACCATTTCTGCTTGTCTCAGACATATATTAGTTATTTTAAATAAGGGAAACCATGGGACCTATGTTTCTTTGGGCCTGGCTTACTTCACTTAATATAATTTTTCCAAGTCTTTCCATTTCATAACAAATGGGGCAATACCATTCTTTCTGATGGAGGCATAGAATTCCATTGTGTATATATACCACATTTTCTTGATCCATTCATCTACTGAGGGGTATCTGGGTTGGTTCCATATCTTAGCTATAGTGAATAATGCTGCAATAAACATAGTTGTGATGGTAGCTTTAGTATGGTCTTGTTTGTGATCATTTGGGTAAATGCCCAAAAGTGGGATTGCTGGGTCATAGGGGAGCTCTGTGTGGAGTCTTTTGAGGAACCTCCATACTTCTTTGCAAAGTGGTTGAACAAGTTTACACTCCCACCAACAATGCAGTAGGGTTCCCTTCTGTCCACATCCCCTCCAGCATCTGTTGTTATTACAGTCCGTGATTATAGCCATTCTAACTGGGTGAGGTTTTGATTTGCATTTCTTTTATGGCTAGAGAGGTTGAGTATTTCTTCAGCTGTCTATTGGCCATCCTTTCCTCTTCAGAGAGGTTTCTCTTTAAGTCTTTAGCCCATTTATTTATTGGGCAGGTATTTCTTTGAGGATTTGTTGTTGGGGCATTTAATTTTTTGAGTTCCAGGTATATTTTAGATATGAGACCTTTGTCCGTTGTTTGGCTAGTGAAGATCTTCTCCCAATCTGTGGGCTTTCTATTGACCTTGCTAGCTATGTCCTTTGCCATGCAGAAGCTCTGCAATTTCATGCAATCCCATTTGTCCAACCTTTATTTGATTTATTGTGTTTCTGGGTCTCTATTAAGAAAATTTCGGCCTGTGCCAAGGAGACCTAGGGTTTCTCCTATTCTATCCTGTAATGTTTTCAGAGTGTCTGCTTTGACTCCAAGGTCTTTGATCCATTTGGAGTTGATTCTGGTGCAGGGTGATATATAAGGATCTAGCTTTAGTTTTCTACAAGTGATTAACCAATTTTGCCAGCACCATTTACTGAGGAGACTTTCTTCATTTCTATTTTTTCAGCTCCCTCATTGAAGATTAGATGGCTATATGTCTGTAGGTTCATGTCTGGGTTTTCAATTCTATTCTACTGGTACTAAGATCTATCCTGTGCCAGTACCAGGTTGTTTTAATTACTATGGCTTTGTAGTAGAGTTTGAAATTTGGTATGGATATTCCTCCAGCACTGTTCTTTCTGTTAAGGATCATTTTTGCTATTCGGGGTCTTTTATTGTTCCATATGAATGTTTGGATTGCCTCTTCTATTTCCTTGAAGAATGAGGTTGGAATATTGAGAGGTATCACATTCAATTTGTAGATAGCCTTGGGAAGTATTTCCATTTTAACGATGTTGGTCCAACCCAGGAGCACGGAGGTTTTTCCACTTTCTAAGCTCTGTTTTGATTTCCTTTTTCAGGTTTTAAAAGTTTTCATCATAGAGGTCCTTTACTTCTTTGGTTAAGTTAATTCCTAGGTATTTTATTTTTTTGTGGGGCTAATATGAACGGATTTGCTTTCCTGATTTCAGCTACACTTTTCTCATTGTTGGCATACAGAAAAGCCATTGCTTTTTGAGGGTTAGTTTTATACCCTGCTACTTTGCCAAAGTTATGAATCAGCTTGAGTAATTTGGGAGTGGTGTACGTTGGATTCTTTAAATACAAAATCATGTCATGTGCAAAGAGGGAGAGTTTTACTTCATTTTTCCCTATTTGGATCCCTTTTATGTTTGCATCTTTTCTTATTGCTGTAGGTAGCCATTCTAATACTAAATTGAAGAGAAGTGGAGAGAGTGGACATCCTTGTCTCATTCCTGAGTTAAGAGGAAATGGCTTTGGTTTTTCACCATTAAGTATAATGCTGGCTGTAGGTTTGTCATATACAGCCTTAATTGTGTTGAGGAATGTTCCATGGATTCCTAATTTTTCCAGAACCTTCATCATAAAGGAGTGTTGGATCTTGTCAAATACTTTTCCTGCATCTATTGAGATAACCATATGGATTTTATCCTTGCTCTTGTTGATGTGATGAATTATATTAATTGATTTGCATATATTGAACCAGCTTTGCATCCCTGAAATGAATCTTGTTTGATCGTGGGGTATGATATTTTGGATGAATTGTTGAAGTCGATTGGCCATAATTGGTCTATAATTCTCTTCCGTTGATGAGTCCCTGTCTGGTTTTAGGATGAGGGAGAGTTATGATGGCTTCATAGAATGAGTTCGGTAGTGAGCTTTCTCTTTCAATTTCATTGAAAAGTTGGAGGAGTATTGGTGTGGGCTCTGCTTTGAAGGCCTTGTAGAATTCTGCTGTAAATCCATCTGGTCCTGGGCTTTTCTTAGATGGGAGGTCTCTTATTGCTGTTTCTATTTCAATGCTTGATATGGGCCTGTTAAGATGATTTAAGTCATCTTGGTTTAGTTTCGGCATGTCAATATTTGCTAAGAAAAAGTCCATTTCTACCAAGTTCTCAAATTATTAGCACAAAGGTTTGAAAAGTATTCCATTATAATGTTCTGAATCTTGGTTGTTTCTGTGATGATGTTTCCATTCTCATCCCTGAGTTTGTTTATTTGGGTGTGTTCTCTTCTTTTTCTGATATTTGCTAAGGGTCTGTCAATTTTTTCGAGGAACCAACTCTTTGTTTTGTTGATTCTTTCTATGGATTTTTGGATTCTAATGCATTTAATTTTGATTTAATTTTAATTATTTCTTTCCAACTACTGGATTGGGTTTATCTTACTGCTGTTTTTCAAGGAGGTTCAGATGTCTCATTAAATTGTTGGTTTCAGATCTCTCCAATTTGTTGATGTAAAAACTCAGAGCTACAAATTTGCCTCTGAGTATTGCCTTTGCTATGTCCCAGAGGAGCTGGTAATTTGTGTGTTCATTTTTGTTGAATAGCATGAACATTTGAATTTCATTTCTAATGTCTTCCATGACCCACTGGTGATTCAACAGTGTGTTGTTCAGTCTCCATGTGTTACAGGAGTTTCTTTGTTTTCTTTTGGTGTTGAGTTCTAATTTTATTCCCTTGTGGTCTGAGAGATTGCAAGGTATAACTTCAATGTTTCTGAATTTGGATAAATTTGCTTTGTGACCTAAAATGTGGTCTATTTGGGAAAATTTTGTGTGCTGCTGAGAAAAATGTGTATTCTGATGCTGCTGAGTGAAATATTTAGTAGATGTCTATTAAATCTATTTGATCTATGCAGCTGTTTAGACCTGCGGTTTTTCTGTTGAGTTTTTGCAGAATTGATCTATCTAGTGGGGATAGTAGTGTGTTAAAGTCTCTAACAATTAATGTCTTTGGTTCTATATGAGATTTGAGGGAAAGTAGTGTTTCTTGGATAA